GACTCCCGCCTTCGTGCTGTACTGCCTTTAGCACATCTTGCTACATCCGGATCCTTACGCTGAAACTTCCGCCGTCGTTTCGTATCTTGCTCTTCCGCCGATGCTAACTTCATTGACCGGACATATATATAATCTCAACCTTGGCATCCGGCTTAACTGCTCGCCTTTGTCGACCACCTTTTTCGGGACACTTCCAAGCGCGCCTACTGCTCCCACAGCCGCTTCCGATGATGACTTCATCCACAATGTCTGCGACTATAAACTTAGTGTACGAAGCCACACCGTCGATTATTACCTCGCACGGTACTTCTCCTAACACTTGGGTGCGTTCACCAGTTGCAGGCTGCAGCTTTGCTCCAGGTAGTGGCTTCACATAAAAAGTGGCCAAATCCGGTCGAATAATAGCATGTGTCGCTCCAGTATCCACTGTCAGTACTCTCTCCTGCCCATTCAAACATCCACCAACAGTGAGGTTGCATGCTTTCCGGCCAATTTGTGAGACGGAGATTATGGGCCCTTCAACTTCTGGAGCCCGCACGCGGCCCTTCCTGCTGGCTCGTTTCAGTTTAAAGACTGATTGAAGTTGGCTTCGTCTCCTTCAGTCCTGCGTTTGCGTCTTGCTGAATTGTTGAGCCCACTGACACTTGCGCTGCAATCGCGGGCGAAGTGGCCTGGCTGTCCACATTTAAAACATTTGCCATAGCCANTCCTGCGTTTGCGTCTTGCTGAATTGTTGAGCCCACTGACACTTGCGTTGCAATCGCGGGCGAAGTGGCCTGGCTGTCCACATTTAAAACATGTGCCATAGCCATGCTTTTTCTCGCTCAGCAGTTGGATAATCTTCTTCAGCATTTCATTTGTCTCGTCCGGTGTTTCCACTTCCACGCGATGTGCTTTGTAGGCTGGTCTACTTAGGAGCGCCGCCGTTTCACGCGTCTGAGCATACGAGACAGTTTCAGCAAATGTTGGCTTTGGATTCGCACCCGTCTCGCGCTTGGTATACATGTCTCGCTTTCCGTTGATGAACCTCTGGATCTTTACCCTTTCGAGGTGTTCACGAGATGCATCTCCAATAGCTAAGTGAGCCAACCTCTTGATCTCTGAAGCGAATTCTTGTAGAGTCTCATTGGCTTTTTGGCAGCGATTCTCCAGCTCTATCTGGTAAATCTGTCTCCTGTGCTCGGTACCATAACGTCTTTCTACTGCACCCATTAACGCATCGTAACTGTCCCTTTCACAATCGGGAATTTTCTGCAAGCTTTCCGCAGCAGGTCCTTTTAATGCAACGAACAGTGCAGCGGATTTATCCTCCATTTTTTAGAACTGGAGCTTAAAGACTTGGAAAGGAATTGTGCCGTCAAAGGATGGGGTTTTTACCTTGGGAGCGTT